GTTCTACATATCAATATTTACCGCTCGACCATTTCAAGACTCCTCATCATGTCTGTGATCACATTCGAGACTCCGAACAACATTCGGTCACCAAATCATATAACTCATATAACACTATATCGTCAACGAACGTTAAGTGTGCGGACCCTACGGGTTCGAGAACTATGTAGACATGACCGAGACACCTCTCTGGTCAATAACCAATAGTGGAACATGGATGCTCATATTGGATCCTACATATTCTATGAAGATATTTATCGGTCGAACCGTTATGACAACATATGTAATTCCGTTTGTCTATCGGTATGTTACTTGCCCGAGATTCGATCGTCGGTATCTTCATACCTAGTTCAATCTTGTTACTGTCAAGTCTCTTTACTCGTTCTGTAAGACATCATCCTGCAACTAACTCATTAGTCACTTTGCTTGCAAGGCTTCTTATGATGTGTATTACCGAGAGGGCCCAGAGATACCTCTCTGATACTTGGAGTGACAAATCCTAATCTCGATCTATGCCAACTCAACAAACACCTTTAGAGATACCTATAGAGCATCTTTATGATCACCTAGTTACGTTGTGATGTTTGATAGCACACAAGGTATTCCTATGGTATCCGGGAGTTGCATAACCTCATAGTCGAAGGAATAAGTATTTGACATGAAGAAAGCAATAGCAATAAACTGAACGATCATTATGCTAAGCTAATGGGTGGGTCTTGTCCATCACATCATTCTCCTAATGATGTGATCCAGTTATCAAATTACAACACACGTTCATGGTTAGGAAACCTTAACCATCTTTGATCAACGAGCTAGTCAAGTAGAGGCTCATCAGGGACACAATGTTTGTCTATGTATTCACACGTGTATTTAGGTTTCCGATCAATACAATTCTAGCATGAATAATAAACATTTATCATGAATAAGGAAATATAAAATAACAACTTTATTATTGCCTCTAGGGCATATTTCCTTCACCCACACACAATGGGCCAAGAAAGTACCGGAGGGGGCTCCAACGGGAGCACAACCCACCAGAGCGCGCTTGGGGGCCCAGGCGCGCCCTGGTGGGTTGTGCTCCCCTCGGAGCCCCCCCCGGTACTTTATTGGCCCATCGTGTGTCTTATGGTCCAGAAAAAATCACCAATTTTTTTTGCTGCGTTTGGACTCTGTTTGGTATTGGTTTCCTGTGAAGTAAAAAACAAGCAAAAACAGCAACTGACACTGGGCACTATGTCAATAGGTTAGTCCCAAAAATGATATAAAGTTGCTATAAAATGATTATAAAACATCTAAGAATGATAATATAACAACATGGAACAATAAAAAATTATAGATATGTTGGAGAAGTATCAGCATCTCCAAGCTTAATTCCTGCTCGTCCTCGAGTAGGTAAATGATAAAAATAGACTTTTTGATGTGGAATGCTACCTAACATGTTCATCACATAGTCTTTTCTTTGTACCATGGACATTTGAACTTTTATATGATTCAAAGCAATAGTCTAGTTTTGACATGAAAATTTCAATACTCAAGCATATCAACAAATTCGGAGAATCCACACAAGTGGTCCTCTGCATTTTGTTCCTTTGGAGCAGAGCTGGCCAGCCCAGCACGGCACGGCCCATCAGGGCACGATTAGTAAGCGGGCCGTGTCGTGCCGCCTAGAAACCCAGGCACAACCGCTTAGTTAATCGGGTCGACTGGGCTGTATTTCAGTTATTTTTCCCTGGTTGAGATGTTTTATATAGCCCAGAAATATAAAAAAATTGGGAAAATTATTTTTTTTGAGCAAGGGAAAAAAAATAAAGCTAATTGTGCCCAGCCTCCAGGCCCAGGCATGCGTGCTAACGGGCTGGCCCAGCTGGCACGGCCCATTTGGCCAGCTTTGCTTTGGAGCGGCTTCAATATTCGGCGGCGCTTCTTCTGCTTCCCCAAACCCCCAAGCTCTCGTCTAAAAAAAAAAAAGGAAAACCCCCAGCTCTCGACTCTCCGTGCCCACGGTGGTTCGAGGCGGCGGCGATGCGGCAGAGATCGTCGCCGGCGGCGATGGACACCCCGGACTTCAGAGTCAAGCTCGGCTTCGAGAGATCCCTGCGACCGCCCGTACGGCGGGTACCCGCGCCTCCCGAGCGAGGACTCGCCGCAGATGGCCTTCTTCGACGCGGCCTTCGACGGCGACCTTCCCCGCCTCAGGGGTGAGCGACCTCCCCGTGCGCCCAATCTTCCCGTCAAGCGCCTGGCCGCGCTGCCCCCTCCCTCCCTCCAATGCGGCCTCGCATCTGCTAGGGTTTTGGAGGGGGGAGAATGGGCGGGGCGGCCTGCGCGTGCGTCTGCCCCTGTGGCGCTGCCGTCCATGTTTCTGACCTCAAATTTCTCTGTTTTGTTGAAGAGCTGGCGAGCGGCAGGGACGCGGAGGGGATGGCCTGGCTTGCCGACGTGTGTCTCGTGGGCGGGGGGCCGCTTCAGACGGCGGCACGCATGGGGAAACTGGATGCCGTCAGGTGCATGGTGGAGGAGCTGGGCTTCGATGTCAATGCGGGCAGCCAATCTGGTATGCGCGCGCTTTCTCTGCGCTGACCGATTCTGTTCATGTTGCGGTCATGCTCAATTTCGCAGTTTTTGCTCGTGTGCACGATATTTCAGTAAACCCGCCGCATCAGTTTCATTCACTTTAAGCACCAGTTACTTGTTTCTGATTTTACTGGCAGGTTTAACTGCTCTGACTGCCGCTGCAGTGGATGAAAGAATGCATGTTATGAGATACCTTCTGGACAAGGGGGCTGATGTGAATAAGCCAGTCTATTCAGGCCATTCTCCTCTTCACCATGCTGCAAAATATGGTCTCTTCTGTGCACATATTAAGCTTTCTGTCTTTAGACTTGCGTTTACCACTTGGTTGCTCTGCAATTTAACAGTCTCCAACTCCTCACTAATGCAGTTTGATCATTTGTGTGGCTTCTAGCTTTTGTTCTATTTTAAACGCTGAATTCTTGCACTTCTACCAAAAGTGTAGTTTATAGGAAATCGATTTGACTATTTTGCACAGTTCATGCTGGTTTTTGGTGCTATCCAACCCTGTAATACGCTTACAAATTACCTTCCAAACCCTCACTGAGATAATGTTCAGTCTGGTTCTGATAATTAGCAATCTAGTATTCCTACTAATTTTATTCCATTTTCATGGCATGTTAGACGAACTCGGTCACGTGACTTTGGAGCTGGGGGCCATCTAGCACACGGTGGCATTTAGATTGTTTCAGTTCAATTTGCTCTACCTATTTAATGTGTCTGGTCCCCAGTAAAAAAAGAAACTAATACGCCTGGTCTTATTTTGTGTTTGTGTCTCCTTATAACAAAACGATAACATATGTCTGGTCTTATTTGTTCTCCCTATGGATTTATACTTTGGTCTTATTTTGTGCTTGTTCTTTTAGTTCTGTAGTATCGGCATGTCTCTTAAATAAAAAACAACAACATCTCCCAATCCCAAAGAAGTTGGGGTAGGCTAGACTTGAAACCTAGTTATGGTTTTGCCACTTGGATAGCTAACTTCCATGCACCCCTGTCCATGTCGTGTCTCTTAAATAGTTTCACCAAAATAATCATGACGTAGTTAACTCATGCCTGGCCTCTAGCCAAGGCATGCAGGTGGTGGTTCTTGATAATGTTTATAAGAATGCATTTCTTCTGTTGAGCGAGAAATGCTTATTTTTCATTGTAACATTACCTTTCTTTATTTTTTGCACTATGTCTAGGACGCGATGAAGCAGCACGATTGTTGCTATCTAAAGGAGCTAGTGTTGATTCAACTTTTCGTGGTCTGACACCACTACATTTTGCTGCTGGCTTTGGGATGATTGGTGTCATGAAAGTACTGTTGGAGCACCATGCAGATGTAATAAGTAAATTTCATGTTTTTGTATTTGAGCTTTATATGCTACCTTGTTAGAATGCAGATTCATCAGCATTGGATTGCGGTTCCACGCCTTGGTCTTCTCACAGCCTTTTAACTTAGCTGTAGATTTTCATCTCTTATATTTCTAACTAATATTATTTTCTAAATCACATAATACAGTAGTTAGCTGGAATGGCAGTTCAAATGACTTTTCTGCAGGTCATACTTCATGCTACTCTGTACCATTGCTTATTTTTCCTTGCTGTGTGATCTTCAGTTCTTCATGATGTTATAGCAGATATTTATGTCAAATGTACAGCTTGGGATCCTCTTGTTCCTATGCAGAAGCTGGATAGATTCCTGCTTTAACATGTGCATGTCTTATTTGATTGGCATAATGTTATTCTGTCTTGTACTATTACCATGTCATTAACTCATAAATACTGGTTAGGTTGAAAGAACTGTCTTTGCAGCTGAGGCTTAGCAATCTATATAAAGTATTTATTGCAAACTGTCATTAGCATGGCCAATAATAGCTTTGTCATGCCACTTCTATATAAAAGGAGAATCATGAGAACAGAAACATGATTGTGTCCCTATGTTCTAATTCCCCTCTATTATATTTAAGCATTCAATATCTGCCTATATTGAAGTTATTTTACACTAAAGATTTTCTGTAATAAAAATGTAGCCGAACAAGGTCTCAGAAGAGGGAAGTACTCCGCTGACTGAAGCACTTCGTGGCACCGATTCAGGACTACCTGAATCTACTATACTGGAGTGTGTCAAGCTGCTTGTGGAGGCCTGTTAACTGTCCACCTTGTCTTCATGTTAATACATATAGTCTTCTTATGATATTAATCTATTACATGAATTGCATAGTCCATAACTTTTGGTTTTATATGATCCATATCCACAGGCAGGCACAGATGTAAATTCTGCTAATAGCGAAACTCCGTTGGTAATAGCAACTCGTTATGGCTTAACTGACTGCGTCAAGTACCTGTTGAAGGCTGGTGCTTCCAAAAAAACCCAACTCTCAGCTAAAAAGAAAACCCCCAGCTCTCGACTCTCCGATGCCGAGGCAAAGTCGCCGGCGGCAATGGACACCTCAGACTTCAAAGTTAAGCTCGGCTTTGAAAGAGCTCGTCGACGCAACCGTTCCTACGGCGGGCTCCCACGCCTGCCAAACGAGGGCTCGCCGCAGATGGCCTTCTTTGATGCGGCCGCCGAGGGAAATCTTCCCCGCCTCATGGGTGAGCGAGCTCTCTATCGGCCCAATCTGTCAAGCATGTGACCGCGCACGTCTGCGCGCCGCTCCCTCCCTTCAATGTGGCCTTGCATCTGCTAGGGTTTTGGTGGGGAATGGGCGGTCTGCGTGTGCTTCTGCCCCTTTCACTCTGCAATGTAGCGCCGTCCATGTTTCTTACCTCAAATTTCTCGGTGTTTTATTGAAGAGATGGCGAGAGGCAGGGACGCGGAGGGGATGGCCTGGCTTGCCGATGTGTGTATCGTAGGTGGGGGGCCGTTTCAGGCGGCGGCACGCATGGGGGAACTGGATGCTGTCAGGTGCATGGTGGAGGAGCTAGGCTTTGATGTCAATGCTAGTAGCAAAGCTGGTATGAGTGCGCTTTCTCTTTGTTCATGTTATCATTAGCTCAATTTCGCGATGTTGCTCATCTGCATGATCTTTCAGTTTGTGTATATTTTAGTAAATTCACTGCATCAATTTCATATACCTTAAGCACTGCCATGATCCAACTTTTCCTGTCCACTTACTAGGGTATTTGTCGACCCTGACTTGCGGTCTTCTCACTAGTCACTACCTTGGTTGTTCATATCATGAGTACTCACTTACTATATATAGACTATGTAGATGATACATTGGTACTGTTTTCATGTAAATTCATCTTTTAGATGAGAGAGATGTCAGATATAGCACTAGTTACTTGTTTTTTATTTATTTCTGGCAGGTGTAAGTGCTTTGACTACTGCTACAATTGATGAAAGAATGGATGTTATGAGGTACCTTCTGGACCAGGGGGCTGATCTGAAAAAGCCAGATGATTCAGGACATTTTCCTCTACACCTTGCTGCAAAATATGGTCTCTTCTGTGGAAAATACTAAGCCTTTTGTCTTTAGACTTGCGTTTACCATTTGTTTCCTGTGCAAAGAAGATTTGAAGGAGTGGTTCATTGTTCTCCTGAACATTCTTCAACTCCTCACTAATGCAATTTGATCATTTGTGCGGCTGCTCTGGTGTACACTTTTTTTTTTGAATTGGATGTATATAGACACGCTTTAGTGTGTTTGTTCATTTATCTCAGTCTGCATGTAGTCCATATTGAAATATCTAAAACATCTTATATTTGTGAATGGAGGAAGTACCTTTCAAACCATCACTGAGGTGATGTTTAGTCTGGTTATGATAATCAATCTAGTATTCCTACTTATTTTATTCCATTTTCATGTCATATCAGATGAACTCAGTCACGTGACTTTAGAACTGGGGGCCATCTAGCGGATGGTGGGATTTGCATTGTTTCAGTTCAATTCTCCCTATGAATTAATACGCTAACATGTCTGGTCTTATTTGTGGTTGTGTCTCCTTATAAAAAAAGGATATCATATGTCTGGTCTGATTTGTTCTCCCTATGAATTAATGCTTTGGTCTTAATTTGTGCTTGTTCTTTCGGTTCTGTAGCATTGTCGTCGTGCCTCTTAAATAGTTTCACCAAAATAATCATGACATAGTTAACTCATGCCTGGCCTCTAGTCAAGGCATACATGTGGTGGTTCTTGATGATGTTTAAGAATACATTTCTTCTGTTGTGCAAGAAATGCTTATTTTTCATGGTAACATTATCTTATATTTTTTTTCTGCACTATGTCTAGGACGTGAAGAAGCAGCACGATTGTTGCTATCTAGAGGAGCTAGTGTTGATGTAGCTTATCTTGGTATGACACCACTATATTTCGCTGCTTCCTGTGGGATGATTGGTGTCATGAAAGTTCTACTGGAGCACCATGCAGATGTAATAAGTAAATTCCATATTTTTTCTATCTGAGCTTTATACGCTACCTTGTTGGAATGCAGATTCATCAACATTTAGTATGTTGAATTCTGGTTCCACGCCTTGGTCTTCTCAGCATTTTATCGTAGCTGACTAGCTGTAAATTTTCATCTCTGATATTCTAAGTTCTAACTAATATTAGTTCAAAATCACATATAGAGTAGTTAGCTGGAATGGCAGTTCAAATGGCTTTTCCGCAGGTCATACTTCATGCTACTCTCTACCATTGCTCATTTTTCCTTGCTGTGTGAGCTTCAGTTCTTCATGATGTTATAGCAGATATTGATGTTAAATGTACAGCTTGGGATCCCCCATATGCTCCTATGCAGAAGCTGGATAAATTCCTGGTTTAGCATGTGCATGTCTTATTTGATTAGCATAATGTTTTTCTTCCTCGTACTATTACTATGTCATAAATACTGGTTATATCGAAGTCGATATTTTACACTAAAGATTTTCTGTAATAAAAATGTAGCCAAACAAGGTCTCAGAACAGGGATGTACTCCGCTGACTGGAGCACTTCATGCCACCGATTCAGGACTACCTGAATCTATTTCACTGAAGTGTGTCAAGCTGCTTGTGGAGGTCTGGTAACTGTCCACTTTGACTTCATGTTAATAGTACATATAGTTTTCTTATGATATTAATCTGTTACATGAATTGCACAGTTCATAACTTTTGATTTATACGATTCATATCTACAGGCAGGCACAGATGTAAATTCTGCTAATATCGAAACTCCGTTGGTAATAGCAACTAGTTATGGCTTAACTGACTGTGTCAAGTACCTGTTGAAGGCTGGTGCAGACCCTAATATCCCAGATATTCATGTGAGTTTTGTTGCATTTTTACCTGATTGTGTCTTCTACTGCTTGCAGCTTTCTTAGTCATATTATCTAGGGGATCGGGGACATACATAGCATGTGACACATATTTCCTACTTCAGTTCTAACATGCAAACCTTTCCCTGAGGTATCCAATGAATAGGAAGTAAATCAGTTATCATCCCATGATCAAATAACTGATAATCCTCTCAGATCTTGATCCGTCACTGAGCAAAATTGTGGGTCACTACCAAACCTGGCCTTACCAAAATATTGCTTGTCCCTACGTTCTTTGGCTATTGTTTGGATAGCTACCAATTTTAGTTCACCCGTGTAACTTCAGCATGCCCCTGTCTGCTCTTTGGCAATGCGCGGGCGGAACGAAGGCGTATAGATCGTTCGCCTAAAAGTTGGCAGCCAATCTCAGCTGCATGCTGCAGGAATCGAAAGAGCACGTTTCTGCAGATATCAATCAGCTTTGCTCTGGTGGCCACCGAAGCTGCACGACCTCTAATCCTTCTCTCTAAGGGAATCACATCGCATCAACATGTCATTAGCTCCCCACTTACCCTATTTCGATCATTTCTTTCATGGCGTGATTTATCCTGCTGTTGGCTAGATCTAAAGTATTACTTACCAAATCATCGATTCTTAATGTTTTTGAGACCACATGCATGTGATTCCATCAAGCAGATAAATTTTAACTTGATGGATCCTTCGTTCCTGAACTCTGAACTTGATGGATCCTTCGTTCCTTCGTCATTTTAGTTAATGAGGTTGAAATTGCATCCATCCCTCTTACTGACAGTACATGAATGAGGCAATGAAGCTGATGCATGCTTGGTATATTAAGTCTGATGCTATTACCAAGATATTGGCTGAATAATATATGTATATGAAACCATGCCGACTGAAACTTAATTAGTCTTGCTTGCAACGTTACTATTATGAGTTCAGTAAAATGTGCAATTAGCTATCTTTTGTTGCCTCATCACCAAAACTCTGAATTTTAGAACCAAATCACACACACATGCTGATATGTTTTGCCAAATGTTCTGAAGCCATTTGGCTTCAAACCAAATGTAAGCCTATGATTTTGCCAATAAAGTGGTTGTTGCCGCTACAAACCAAACAATCGAGACCTGCCAATGTTTTGGCCATGCCCTTGGTTTGGTCATGCCAAATTTTTGGCAGGACTACATGGGGCTCAAACCAAACATACCCTGTGTCTTATTCCCTCAGTTCCTGACTGTTGAGGATTTGGTCTGATTTACTTCCGAAAATTGATTTATACTGGGTAGTGCTTAAGGCTACTAATATCAGGAACCAAAAGTTGACATGATGTATGCCCGAGTGCAACTAATTATCGCACTTGATACAGTTAATTTTTCAACAAAAATGTCTTGACTTTTGGTTGATCGAAGCTGACACTTTGAGAAACAGCAACTCAAATGACATTTTGAAGTGGGTGGGTTATGTAATGCCTAGCATAACTTAATCTATTTATGTGCCCAGTTTCATTGTTTTTATATATTTCCTTATTATTTATTTTGATCTAATTAATACTGCTGAGATTTTTTACTAGGTTTATATTTGTTTTTCAATCCCTGGTAGCTATATAGTAACTTCTGCCACTGAACCATGTGGTTCCTGTTTGTTACTTCTTACTTGTCAGTCTGGTGCCAAGCCAATAGAAGTTGCTGCAATCCATGGAAGATGGAAGCTTGTGGAGTTACTATTTCCTTTAACTTCTCCTATTCGTACTGTACGAAATTGGACCGTCGAAGGAATTATTGCTCATGTCAAAAGGCCCTCGAAGCCCACGGTATGAATTGGATTTTATGAATTTGAATCATCCTATATTGAGTTATTTCTTTGTCCTTCGACCGTTGTGGCATAAACGTTTGCACCTCTAATCACCTGAATCTTTTCTTTATATGGGACTAGTAGAGGTGGGCCTACTTTAAAGGATATGTTATGACAATGTTGTGGTTTTTGTCACTATGCAGATTTTTCATTCTGTTTTGCCATTCTCTCCTTGGCCTACATTTCAGTGACATGACTCAGTGGCAAATTTGCAATGCAAGCAAAAGCGTTATACACAAAATCTAATGGCAAAATCAGTATTGCCCCTATATTATAAATACAGAGTACAATAGAAAGATGATCCTTTGAAAATCTTTGCGAAATATTTTGCGCTTGCTAAATATTTTCGTCATTTGAAAATTTTCTAAAAAAAAATCACAGCTGAACATGACTGAGTATTATATTTAGACTCTAAATTTGCTGCAAAAAAGCGTGTTTCGTTGCCCTGTGGAAAATCCATGTCCTAAACTCCCTCTGATTATCTGTCTACAACTGTACGAATTGGTTAAACAAACAATACAACCTACTCCTTCCGTCCCACAATGTATGATGTTTTTGCAAGCTAACATGGTTTGCAAAAACTTCTTACATTATGGGACGGAGGGAGTAGTTGCTTATGAGTCTTCCGTTGTTATATGAAGTTTAATCATCAAACTATATCTTTTTTGGCACAAAAGGAAACTTCTTTAATCTTCGGTGAACATTGTACATTTTGTATGTATATTTTGCTTGTCTTAATTTGTCTCTATGATTTAGGTTAAGCATGATAAAAGTACGAAAGTTCAGTTGAAATCATTTGGTGAGAAAGCTATTAAGAGAAAGGACTATCATGGCGCGTCAAAGTTCTACACCGAGGTAAGTAGTGATCTGAAGAATGATGTGGTATTGGTTATGCTACTCTAAGGTCTTTGCAAGATGCATATCAGCATATGCATGAAACTTCTACAGTACACCTTATCCTCTCATTATACAAACATTGGGGTTTCTGTTTGAAAATGTTTGTTCATTGATGGAATCAAGAGTGTACTTATTTGACACCGTCTCCAGGTATAATATGTCTAGATATAAGCCAAGTAACTCTGTGAATTACATTTATAGTTGAATCCACGACAGTATTATAAGATCTCCACTCTCCAGCCAAGTCTGGACATGTCATGTTGTTTGGGAACCTTCAACAGCCATGACTGCTGGGAACGGTTCAAACCAGCTTCAGCAGCTCTCTCGAAAGAGGCCCATAATGATTATCCGAGAAACATTGGTTCTCAGTTTCAGTTCAGAACCATCATAAAGTGTGAACAGCCCTAATGTTAATACTGATAGTCACAGGCATGGACTTACGGGACCAATGTTGTCTTGTTAACTTGGGTAAATGGGGGTCTTGTCAGGCATACATAATTAGCCCTGCGCAAGCCATTACATATATACGCTGTCCGTTCTTTCGCTCAAAAAACTTGTTTCGTTATGAGACATCCCTCACCATTTTCAATTCTCTGTTTTGATGTAGGCAATCGAGCTGGACCCTAGTGATGCAACACTGTACTCAAACAGGAGCCTTTGCTACCTGCAAATGACTGAAGGAGATAAGGCTTTGCGCGATGCTAACACTTGCATAAAGCTGCGCCCCGAATGGATCAAAGGTTACTACAGGAAAGGAGCCGCTCTCATGTCGCTCGAGGTCAGATAGCTCACAGAGTACTCACCTTGCACTTGGTTTCATGGCATCTCCCTGTATACATACTATAATCTGCGGAACTTCACATTGGTAGGACTACAAAGAAGCTTGTGATGCATTCATGGCTGGACTGCAGCTGGACCCTGGAAACGCCGAGATGGAGAAAGTGTTCATGTAAGCTATTTACCAAGAATGTCCCCAATGATGGGAATTTTTTGGGTGTTTGGGGGGTGGTGGAGTGTGGAGGGTTGTTTGTTGATGCGCACTTGTAGACTGGTCTGAACCGGGCGCCGATCAGGCAATTAACTTAACTTGGCTCATGTTTGCAGGGATGCGGTCGAGGAAATGAAGAAGGATCACTTGGCTAAAAAAGGCTCCAAGCCATCCGATTAGAGGAAAACCGTGGATCGCCCTGCCCCGTTTCGTGTAAATATTTATCCTAGTGCCAGGAAACATACTCATCTTCTTTTCGGTGCCGTACTGAGTAACAGAGCACTATGACTCTGGCTTGCCTGTCAATGGAGGCGCTGATGCAGAATGCCGGTCGAGTAGTAAACCCTAGGTGTAGTGGAAGTGGACGTTTCCTTTCCTGCGTGCAGCGAAAGAGGACCACCATGTTGGTCATCTGGATGGTCATTGCTCCTTGAGTTTGTGTACCTTCTGTCGTGTGATCCGTTCGTCGATAGAAGTTTCCGTTGTTGCTCCATTGAGTTCCTCCGAGGGTGGTGGCGGCGGCTAAGCGTGTGTGCTCTGCTCCGCCATAGAAGCTTCGAAACCGTCCTCCTGTAGGCGAAGATGCCCTCGCCCACCCTTAGCGGCCTATTTCTATACGCCAATTTTGAAAACAGTCGTGGACTGCCCGGAGTGGTAAATCCTGTGACCCAAATTGCTGCCCGGGTAGCAGAGTAAGCACCATATACTGTCCCCAGTTTCAAAAAAAAGCAAATGGTAATGATGAATACATGGTAAACCTGAATTTAGCCATAATGTGGATGACCAGTTAGCAGCATAGTTTGCTGGTAATGCTGTCAGTTTTTTGTTTTGAGGAAGGCATTGCTGTCGGTTGAACATAGACATATCTCATCTCAAACAGTTTCACTCACAAGTGACATTACATGCCCGTAGAAAGATGGATTTCATCATCAAATAGGGCGCCGTGGCGATAGCCTGGTTGGTACTCACTCAAGCTCTGGCAAAAAGAGCTACAGTACCCAACTACTAGACCAAAGACCACATGGAACCGTTCGTCAGGACTCTTTCACAGCGATATGGCACCATCGTCGTAATTTGTGCCAGAAGATCGAACGACAGTTGATGCGTTCGCTGAAAAATGCTCTAACATTCGCCGGATAGCTTTTTCGTATGAGGGAGCAGAGTTGGCCATCTGGGGCATGCCAACCAGGCCGGCCCATTGGCACGTCTGGCACGACATGACACGGCCTCAATGGACTGTGCCCGCGGCACACGTCACACCAGGGGTCGTTAGGGCATCTCTAGCAGACCCCGTAAAAAGCTCCGACCTGCAAAATAACCGTCAAAATGCGGGTCGGTGCGGAAAATCCCGCCCGAACAGGTCCCGCAAACGCGGTTGGCCCGCAAATTTTTTTGAGGGGCGTAGCAAAATCTCGAAATCGCTAATTAAGGAGCACTCGTTGTAAAGAACACTCCACCTTCCCAGGTCGCGACAAGTGGTGCACATGCAGCGCACCACTTGTCAACCTGGGGTTTTCCCTTTTTTTCGTAGATCTGTTTATTCAAAACGTTTTATCTCTTAAACCGCGCGTCTAAATCTCGAACCATTTTCACCGTTGGATTCCTCGCGTCGACATCTTTAAAACTAGATCCCATGTTAATAGGTTTTGACGAACTTTTTTCATAAAAAAATCGGACGAAAAAACCGAACCGGGAGCACGGGTTTTTTCCTTTTTCGAAAGAGGCATGTCCGTGCCTCTCATGAAATCACAACCGTGCCTCTCGTGGAAGCAAACCCGTGACTCTCATGGATTGAAAAAAAACAAAAAACACGTTTTTTTTCGTTTTCGAGAGGCACGGCCGTGACTCTCGCGGAAGCAAAACCGTGACTCTCGTGAAAGAAAAAAAATAGAAAATATGTATTTTTTCCCTTTCCGAGAGGCACGACTGTGACTCTAGCGAAAGCACAACCGTGCCTCTCGTGGAAGCAAAACCGTGACTCTCGCGAAAGAAAAAAAAACAGAAAACACGTTTTGTTTTTCCCTTTCGAAGAAGCACGACCGTGACTCTCGCGAAAGCACAATCGTGCCTCTCGCGGAAGCATAACCGTGACTCTCGTGAAAGAAAAAAAACAGAAAACACATTTTTTCGTTTTCAAAAGGCACGGCCGTGACTCTCGCTAAAGCACAACCGTGCCTCTCACGAAAGAAAAACCATGACTCTCGCGAAAGAAAAAAAAGAAAACGTGTTTTCGCGTAAAAAAAATTGAATTTTTTTTGATCAAAAAGCTAAGGAAGACAGGGGGAAAACCAAAATGTCAAAAAACGGAAAAAACCGTTTAAAAAGCCGAAAACGCGTGCAAAAATAATAAAAACAAAACCCAGAGGGAGCGTACAGAACGCAACACGTGGCGAATGATTAAGAGCGCGCCAAGTGGCGTTGATCGCTGCGAGGCTCCCGAAGGAGCGCTCGTTAACTAGTTGCTCTCGCAAAATCTTGACCCCAACCCGTGAAAATAAGGATTTCGGAGACGACGGACGACCTGTATATATGAAAGACCGTTGGCGGGAGTCCAACTGCCAGCGGAAACTTCATGGCTCGCTCCTCGCCGTCCGTCCCTGGCCGCCGCCCGCCCATCCCCGTCTGCCTCTCGCCCGCCCCGGCCGTCGCGCTCGCTGGCCGTCCGCCCAGGCTGCTGCGCCCGACCGTCCGCCGCATAGGCTCGTCATCCGCCCGGCCGTCCGCTGCACCGACCGTCCGCCCCAGCCGCCCACGGCTCTCCCGACGAAGGAGCTAGCTTGCTAGCTAACTAAATCGAATCGATTCGAACGTAGCGAGCTAGCCTCTAGGCTATCTCGCTAGCTACGACGAATGGAGAAGTCCGACCACCGCCTGCGCAACCGCGGCCGCCCTGGCCTCCGCCTGCGTCTTCTGATGTCTACTACACAACCTGCTTCTTGTAGACATTGGGCTTCCAAGTGCAGAGGTTTGTAGGACAGTAGCAAATTTTCCTCAAGTGGATGATCTAAAGTTTATCAATCCGTGGGAGGCGTAGGATGAAGATGATCTCTCTCAAACAACCTGCAACCAAATAACAAAAAGTCTCTTGTGTCCCCAACAGACCCAATACAATGGTAGATTGTATAGGTGCACTAGTTCGGCGAAGAGATGGTGATACAAGTGCAATATGGATGGTAGATATAGCTTTATGTAATCTGGAAAAAATATAAAAACAACAAGGTAACTAATGATAAAAGTGAGCACAAACGGTATTGCAATGCTTCGAAACAAGGCCTAGGGTTCATACTTTCACTAGTGCAAGTTCTCTCAACAAGGATAACATAATTAGATCATATAACTATCCCTCAACATGCAACAAAGAGTCACTTCAAAGTCACTAATAGCGGAGAACAAACGAAGAGATTATTGTAGGGTTTTAAACCACCTCAAAGTTATTCTTTCTGATTGATCTATTCAAGAGTCTGTAGTAAAATAACACGAAGCTATTCTTTTCGTTCAATCTATCCTAGAGTTCGTACTAGAATAACACCTTAAGACACATATCAACCAAAACCCTAATGTCACCTAGATACTCCAATGTCACCACAAGTATCCGTGGGTATGATTGTACGATATGCATCACACAATCTCAGATTCATCTATTCAAGCCAACACAAAGTACTTCAAAGAGTGCCTCAAAGTTTCTACCAGAGAGTCAAGACGAAAACGTGTGCCAGCCCCTATGCATAAGTTCACAAGGTCACTGAACCCGCAAGTTGATCACCAAAATATACATCAAGTGAATCAATAGAATACCCTCTATGCAAGACATACATCAAGTGTTCTCAAATCCTTAAAGACTCAATCCGATAAGATAACTTCAAAGGAAGATAGAGGGGGAGAAACATCATAAGATCCAACTATAATAGCAAAGCTCGCGATACATCAAGATCGTGCCATATCAAGAACACGAGAGAGAGATATCAAACACATAGCTATTGGTACGCACCCTCAGCCCCGAGGGTGAACTACTCCCTCCTCGTTATGGAGAGCGCCGGGATGATGAAGATGACCACCGATGATGGATCCCCCTCCGGCAGGGTGCCGAAACAGGGTCCCGATTTGTTTTGGTGGCGATAGAGGCTTATGGCGGCGGAACT